CAAATAAGGGTTTAGGGGTTAGGGTTTAGGGTTTAAGGGCTTATATTACCCCAATGCTGGAGAATCAAATGGAAAAGACAATGGAAAACGACATGGTAGCTAGGATTAGTATGGGTTATATTAGGGTATATTGTGGTTATATAGGGATAAAGGAAAAATAAAATGAAACGTACTATAGTACATTGAGGTTATATAAGGTTTCGGGCTTGGGGTTTAGGGCTTGAGGGTATAGGGGCTAGGGTTTAAGGTTTAGGGTTTAGGGGTTAGGGGTTTAGGGTTGAGGGCCTGAGGATTTAGGGTGTTTGCGTTTAGGGTTTTGCGCTTAAGTGTTATGGGGGGGGGGGTAGTGTTTTTTGTTTATGGTTTAGGGTAGAACATGCTGGAGAATCAAAGTTGAAAGGGCCTCGAGCATGAAATGGAAACTGGGTGTGCATGTAGAGGTTATGAAGGTGGTTACAGGGAGTTTAGACTATAGCCCATTCGGTTACCCCAATCTTGTACTACAGCTACTAGTACCCAAATCCAAAGTACGTAGTTATTGGGTGCTTGGACCCTTAGAGTTAACTTTGAATGGCCTGAGAGCCATGTACCAACTGGCTATCATAATTTGAAGAACTTCCGTAGCGCATGAAATCTTAGACTTGGACCTTATTGTATTTCTCCCCGCCCCAAGAGCTTGGAACCTAAAACTTTGGTCACGATTCAGTATTTGTGCGTGCTATCTCTAGGGCTCTACTATTTTTTGGGACTGCGCGCCCTAAACCCAAGCTTGTCGTCCTGGTGCTTCTTCGTGGCCTCATGCAAAGCCATTTTCCCACTCTCCTTTGCCATGTCGGTGGCAGCGTTGGCCGTCGCCAGGGACTTCTTGAGCTCGGCATTCTTATATTATTAGTATAATATCACATGATACTATATCATATTATATTGTTAGGGTTATTAAAGGGGGATACTAGGAGCTTAGACTCTATAGCTTTGGCTTTCAAAGCCACCTCCGCCTCTTTGCAGGACTACGTCTGCTGGCAGCCCAGGCCTCAACTGCACAGTCCACTATGGGCTATTACACCTTTAAATTCCCCATTAGGACCCTATTAAAACTAGATTAAGGTACCCTTAGGGTCTAACAGCCCATAGTGGATGTTGTGTATCATGTTGCAAAGCGCTGCGCGCGCTACTGGGGCTTGGCGCGGTGTGGTCATCATTGTTTCCCGCCCGGCTTCGAACCTTGAAAATGCCTCAGGACATCTGGATGTTGCTCAGTGGCGATAAGTTCGGGCATGGCGGGAAGGTCTAGCATCCATAATCATGTTCGAGGTGTCTCTGCGAATTACAACTAGACGTGCTGACAACGCTTTGAAAATAGTGCTGGGTTCTATTGTAGTTTCATGATGCAGGGAATGTTAACAGGTATGACCAGGAAATGGCTCCCCATTTTGCGGAGTGGACGTCACTTGCCTGATGTAGCCGCCCACATTGGCAATCTGCTCTGAGGGACCCTGGAAATACGTTTAGGTTTAGGGTCTCTACTGTGGAGACGCTGGAGTCGAAACATCTTTCTATCCCCTTACTGAGCCCACTATACCCTATTGCAACTCTTTGTAGGTAGGCCACCTAATCCAGTAGTAGTTCCAGGGTTTTAGACAGTAGGGCTTGCAGCCTCCAAACTTTTCATGACCAAAGGGTCCGGCCCTTAACCCGTTTATAAACCCTGTAGAGCCGGCAAATGGCCAAGATGGGGATTTCGAAAAATATGTTCTTGGGGAAAGGTTTTTGACAAAAACATTAAAACGCCAGAGCGGGGGGGGGGGGGGNNAATTGTAGGGATGTACTAATTACCCCAAGACTGGAGACTCAAATGGCAAACAGGGAAAAATGACATGACAACGCTTAAAAAGGTGTCGAATATCAGGGTGATATTGCAAACACGTGGTTTGGGACAGCTCCTGTGAAACATGAAGAAGCAGTGCACCCCGAAGTATGAGGACTGCATGTATAGGACCCTATGGTCTCTTTCGCTCTCCTGGATGTCCTAAGATCGTGCCAAACCCAGAAAATTTGGCCATGCACCCGTCCCCAAATCTAAAGAATCATCCCAACATTAAGGGCTCAACACCCAAATGCTCAACCCAACACCTGACAACCCCTCATATCACCACTATACACATTCTCTAGTGGCTATCCATGATTTTTTCAAAATATGTTCCATTTGATATTGCACTATTTGTTAGTTAGATGAGCACTATACTACTAGGTCCCCACATATGACACCTAAATCATTCCAAATCCTGCAACCTCTCTACCCTAAAGCCTAAGCCCTNNCCCTGAGCCCTGTAAGCCCTAAACCCTAAACCCTATAAACCCTAAATCCTGAACCCTATAAACCCCGAACCCGATACTCCTAAACCCTTAAACCCCTAAACCCCCAAACCCCTCACCTGCCCTAAACCCTGAACCCTAAACCGTAAACCCTTAGACATCCATGTTCAACATCTTGCCTGCGACTCGGACGACAGGTCCCGGAAGATTCTCGGATCGGCCTCTACCGCCTCGGCTCAAGTGCTTACCCTAGGATTTAGGATTTAGGGCTTAGGGTCTAGGATTTAGGGTTTAGGTTCTAGGATTTAGGGTTTAGGGTCTAGGATTTAGGGTTTAGGGTCTAGGATTTAGGGTATAGGTGTTTTTTTTCAACTGTTCGGACTTTTGATGCCTGCACCAACGTCAAAGGTTTCCAGGAGGACCACTCAGATTACTCAGTCTGCACACCTTTTGTTGAGGGGGTTTAGGGGTTTAGGCTTCAGGCTCATGCTCAGCCTATACGTATATCTATCATTCTGATGTCCCTACTTAAAAGTAGTCTACTGGCCATATATGTCACGATTGTCTTCTGATAGAGACTCACTCATAACCATGCTACATGCGAAGCTACCCTGATGGCGTCATACCCACGCATAACTGCCCTAAACCCTGAAACCTATACCTTAGGTAGACCCCCCACCCACTAATAGCGACTACAAGGAATAGTAAGGATTATATTAGGGTCCTCTTATAATTATATTCCTACTATACCACTATAAGAGTCTAGGGGGTCCTCAACCCTAAACCCTAAACCCTAAACCTACACCCATGAACCTTCGAGCAGGCTTCCGGCTAAAACCCCAAAGTCTTCAACCCACCCCCTCTGCCACTATGGGCTACTAGACCCTAAAATTCCTTATTAGGACCCTATTAAGGGTAGATTAAGGTACCCTGAAGGTCTATATAATAGCCCATAGTGGTGTGACATGGTTTCAGGAGCAAAGGCTGGCCTGTTCATCGTTTAGGGTTTAGGCTTCGTGTCGAGGATTACTAGGATGAAAAGGGTAAAAAGCGTCCTCGAGGTTTGATGCTGAATTCTGCACGTGTGTAACTTTCAGATTATAGTTCCCCTTTAATTAAATTCAATATGGGGTACATGGGGATCGTATTATACCAAAAGCCAGATTCTATCGGTTTAAGGGGGGCTATATCCATAAGCCTGAAATGTTGAATTACAGATCCTCCTGCCTCACGCCCTGTAATGTCCAAACGCCAACTCCGTGCTTCACCATCTTCCCTAAGCCTTGCAGAGATAGAGCCCTTGACAACTCCCAGGTAGTCACCGGAGGGCCAGAGATATCACTACCATGGAACCACTGGGGTGCTGTTAATCACATTTTTATATTGATGACCAGGTTCATGCGTCCAAATTTATGTGGGCCATGCTGAATCATCTGGCTCAGTTGATGAGTGCAACATAACCGCCCAGACGGGATCCTGAAGCATCTGAAGCCTGAGACCCTGAACAGATTCTGATCCCTTACTGTTGACTGCCCTAAGCCTCCCTAATAAAGCATCGGGATTGACAGATTTAAGCCCCCCGATTGATTATTCGGTGCCGGGATTGACTATTCTAAGCTGATAAAGCATTCGGTGCCAGGGTTGACTGCTCTAAGCCCCCCACAAAACTATTCGGTGCCGGGATCGACTGTTCTAAGCCCTCCCCCATAAACCATTCGGTGCCGGGATTGACTGTCCTAAGCCCCCCCCCATAAACCATTCGGTGCCGGGATTGATTGTCCTAAGCCCCCCAATAAACCATTCGGTGCCGGGATTGACTGTCCTAACCCCTCCGAAAAACCATTCGGTGCTGGGATTGACTGTCCTAAGCCTCCCCCCCTTGAACCATTCGGTGCCGGGATTGACTGCTTTAAACCCCCTAATTAATCGTTCGGTGCCGGGATTGACTGTCCTAAGCCCCACTTCAGTTAAACGGCCAAAGGGGGGGGGGCTTAGAACAGTCAATCCCGGGATGGACTGAATTAAACTGGGCTGCTGTTAACTATATTTCTGTATTGAGGAGGACTTTGCTGAGGAAGACATCATTCAGCATAATCAGAGCTGGGCCAACATGTATAGTCTCCCTTTAGTAGACAGAATATGGGGGGAGTTACAAATTTCAGGATTACTTTAATTTAATAATGTACCCAAAGCCATATTCTATCTACTAGAGGGAGACTATGGCATGTGATTCTGATGATTTCCCTTTTTCTGCACTGCGCACGATGATCATGGCAGAATCTTCGCCACTGCCTGCGCAGATTAGGTTTAGGCTTGGGTCTTTTATTAAAGCCAGAGAATGGGCTTAAGGGTACTTCAGGTCAGAAAAATATTTGACAGTCATGCCTTCATCAAAGCGACCGCCACAGGAAGGGGCCATGCATTGCCCAGAGCCGCCCCAATCTGGCACTGTGTCAGCGAATGCCCCTTCAACATCTGCCATGGCCACCCTTGTGCTCGCGCAAGCTCCTCCAAAAGGCAATTGTTCATCGATCAATATGTTCCAAGCTAAAACGACGACGAACAAACCTTTACAAAAGGCAAGGCACCTTGGTCCTGATATGCCTTGCTTTGGAAGTGATCCAGAAGGCATGGCTGGATCCCCGAGCACGCGTTATGCAAGGGCACCTCCAGTGAATCATCAACACCCATGAAAACCTTGAATATCCCTTACTAAGCCTTGTTATTACTTGGTTTAGCACGCCAGATAGGGTGGAAGAGGATGGAACTATAAATATGTCACATTTTTGCATTCAGGTTCGTGGATCCTATGAGGTTTAATCAGAAGCCAAGTGTCTCTTCATATCTCGGCTTCGATGCGAACTTTCTGCTTGCAGCAGTATCGATCACCCTGAGATGTTCAATTGAGGAACCAAGCAAGTTGGGGCTAGGGTTTAAAGGTTAGGGTTTGTAGGGTTTGTAGGGCTTAGGGTTAGGGTTTAGGGTTTAGGGTTTAGGGGTTTAGGGTTTAGGGTTTAGGGATTAAGCCAGCTGAGTGGCCAAGTCTCATCATCAGGATCATAGCCAGCCCTCACCAGGTGCATCAATCCTTTCTTGAGGTTCCGTTGGCCAGTTGCCGATGAAGGGAATTCTGGATCTTCAGAGCATGATCTCCTGAGTCAGATAAGTTGGCACTAGCAAGAATATTCCATGTTGGGGCGGGGGGGGAGGGGGTATGTGCACATGAAATCAGAAACTGAGGATTCGGCTTCAGCAGAATTGAGGATAGGGAAACATATTTCTTTCGAAAGTTGCCCCGTGGGAACTTGAATCCGCCTCAGGGCTGGTGAGCTTCAGATTTGCCATCATGTTCAGGGGTATGTTAATGAGGATGTTGGGAACTATGCAGACTTCAGGGATTATCAGTCTTAGCTATTATGGGTTATCATAAAACCCTTAAATTAACCCTTAACCTAGTTGACTGGAAAACATGAGAAAATCAGAATTTCTGGTGTTTGCAGGCCTCGCTTGCAGGTCATGCTGCGGTCCCATCCAACAATCCACAGCCGTTTGCGTCGCTGGGGTACCCCAAAGTCACGGGCATCCATCACCTGCAGATAACTCAGATAAAGTAGTAGAACCTAGCAGCAGCAGCAGTGGCCCCTTGCCTTCCAACGGATGCAGTACATGCCAGTTTTGTTCATCCTGCCATCAGGGCCAATCCCAAATCTATCATACAGCCTTTTAAAGCTTAGACCCCAAACCCTAAATCCATAAGGGCATTGAAAACTTAAACCCTACACCCTAAACCCTGAAGCCTTCATTTTAATGTTAACCTTCAAAGAAGCAATGGGCAGGTGAGCTTACATCCCCTCAAGCCAGGCCTGTTCAGTAGTCCTTTGAAGTATTTTCGATGCTTCCGGGAACACAATGCCGGTACATTCTCTATGATGAATGACCGCGGTTTCATCGAAGATATTCTTGAGACAACCTCAGGTGAGCAAGCAAGCATTAGTCAGTTGGGTTAATGTTGCTAAGAAAATAAGTAGTGATTCCAGTCAGCTTCAGATTATGCAAGTTGCCTTATCCAGCACTGATGCCCGTGCATCCGTCTCTCCTTTTCGAAGGCCCATGCCGCTAAACGGTTGGCATGGTGCACCAGCACCATATATATCCATGCGCTTCCCATTCCAGACTTAGATGATGACAGCCCCCTAGACCCTAAGCCCTAAATCCTACACCTCAAAATCCTAAACCTAAAGCTCTAAACCCTACGTCTTAAATGTGACATGTGCCATGCTGATGGTGGCAATGCTGCTACCACTGCAGGCCAGGCTCTCATATTGAACATCGCATCATGACTCAGAGATTCTGGATCATGTAGTTGCTGGATTCGGTCTCGTAGCCGCCCATCTGTTTCGGATGCATAAACCAGCTTGTGCGGGATCTCAGCCAACCTCATTGTCATGGGATGGCACTTGCAATGCAGATGAGGGGTTGACCACAATTCAGTCATGGAGCTGGCAGGCGGCAGAAAGAGGTTCCAGCCCAGCACACTCTGAGGCCAGCTGCAGTTTTCTGCGCTTCATGAAGCAAGGAACTTGTGAGGGGTCTGGACACGGTTACAAGTCAAGTGGGTCTGGAAGTTCAGGCTTTAGAGTTAGAGGGTTGATAGCGCTTAGGGTTGAGTCTTGATGACCATTAAGAAAATTTGGATCTTGTAGGCTCATGGGTTGTGATTGCTGCAAGACTGACTGAGTATGACTGATCCAGCCTCAGACATTGAAAGGTCAGCATCCCAGACTTGCATGCTTCTGAGTGGCAAAGCCTACTAGAAAAATGTATCAAAGCATGCAAAACTTGTTTTGCTGATCTCCACTCCGCAGAGATCCAAAGGTGTGAAGCAACTGCCCCAACTGCTAAGCAGGTAGCATCCGAAAGAAAATACTTGATGAGCCCAAATGGCTATATGTTTGGATCTGAGTCATCCTCCGGACGGGGCAATCCGCATTGCTGGCCCAATCTCTTGTAGAGACAATGGATAGGCGCCCTGCAAAGACTAATGCCTAGGTTGTTATTGTAGGCTGAGGCTCTTTCATTATGACCCACATGGCCTAGTCACTTAGCCCAAGATTCAGGCTCGAGTTTTGACAGGGCTCCCATCAGAATCATCAATTGCGTACGCACATCCTAGATGAGACAGAGAATCTCTGCACAGGCAAAATTGGAGATAGCCCGCCAACCCCCAGTAGATATCCTTTGGTACTAACCCGCTCTGTAACAATCTACATGAAGGTGCTTCAGTCATGACAACTAATTTATATAATGATTAGTTAGTATGAATTGTCATTGTGATCAATCATTTGAAAGTATTGAGTATCCCATTGGTATAGAGCTGAAGCAGTACCCAAGGAATCCCCCTAACAGCTTGATGCTTTTTCAAGATTTGCACCAGGGGCTCCCTCAGACAAAAAGGTAATGCCAGAGGTACTGATGATGAGAATGAGAACATATGATAATTATTAATGCATTATGTTGGCACTCTCGACCTGGCATGACCCCTGAAAGCTTGGCCGGGACTACCCTTCCCTACTTGAGATTCTTCAATCTCTGCAGCACAGAGGATCCACCGCCTCCACTCGTCTTTCCCTGACATGGCATAAGGTCTGGATTTAGGTTGCGGATGGCTTAGTCTTTTGGTTCAAGTGTAGGGCTTGTAGTTTAAGACTTATATGGCATGGGTTCAAACCAAAATATTTTCATCCTGCCCTGCCTTCCTGCTTTTCCCTTTTCCCCGACCCTTTCCGTTTCCCCGCCCTTTGTTCTTGCCCCGTCCACGGCCGCGGCCACGCCCACGCTTTGGCTTCTCCTGCAAGATGCCAGAGAATTGAAGATGAAAGCCCCCAACCCTAAATCTAAAACCCAAAAACCATAAACCCAAAAACCCAAATCCCTAAACCCTAAACCCCTAAGCTCTAAACCCTAAGCCCTAAACACTTAATTCCTAAACCCTAAACCCAAATGAAACCCTGTATTTCAATGCAAATTTGAAAAGATTGCAAATCCCTCCTCATCTGAATCTATTCCATCCTCATCCTCCTCCTCTGGTTCTTCCTCTGGCTCCTCCTGCCCGCTGGCCTCTTCGTCCTCTGCATCCTCCTCATCATTACCTTCCTCCTCATTGTCATCCTCCCCTTCCTCCTCCGCTCCCTCATCTTCATCCTCGTCATCTGCCTTGCCTGTCTTTCTCTTCCTCATGTTCTTTGCCTTTCCTGTTGCTTTGGCCTTTGCCTTGCTTTTGTTGCCCAGCAAGGCTATGAGACCAGGCTCATGAAGAGGGCTGTCCGCCTTTTGCATGTGCTGGAAGACGAGGTTCTCCAATCTACGGTACAACATTTCTTGATGCGCCTCCGTGAAGCATATGCCAACCATTGTAGCATTCATCAGAATACTGGCCATACACGTTTTGCCATCTCCTCCCCCAAAAAACATTGAGGGAGTAGGTTGAGGGTTTATGATTCAATTGATTAACTCATAACCCCCGGACCCTAAACCCAAAACTTCACTTCAGCCAAAGCCATGCCACCCACTGACAAGTCGACAAGGTGACCGACATTAAAGTCATGGAAGATCTCCTCCACCTATGCCACGGGCTTGGTTCAGGTTATAGGCTGTAGGGTTGAGGACTTTGGGTAAGGCAATGATTGGGGCAGCCAAGCTACGCAGGTGAGCGGGAGGGAGTGGTAGGCGAATGGCTCCATGTCACCATCATTCCGGCGTCCTGACAATTGGCATAATTTTTCAATGAGACTGCAAATTAATAGTTGGGCCCTCACACCATGAAGCAACACAGTAGGATTTGGGGATTAGGATTTAAGGTTTAGGATTTAGGCTGCTCCTTCTTCCTCATCTTTGTCAGTCGTCTTCCCGCCAATCAGAATTCTCATGGATCCATAGGCCAGCTTCTTGTCTTTGACTGAAACCTGCCAAGTCTCCATCTCATCCTGAGATGCCAAGCACTGAGAGAATGATAGGTTTAGTTAGAAATTATTATCTAATAACCTTAGTTTTCAATCAGGAGGGGAGTGTCATAATGATTGCAATAGTGTTATGGCAACGATGAGTCATAGGTTTAAGTGGGTTCATCTGTCAAGCATATCTTTGTTGGGGTCTTGGGCCTTCGGAAAATTTGGGTTCAGGGGGTTCTGGCATGTTTGGGTTTTTTAGGGAGTAGGATTCAATCAGGGCTTCATCAGGATTTCATTTATACTTAAAGCCTTTCCCCACTTGCTGGCATAATTTGGCAGGTAAGATGCTTCGTAGCTTTGCGCAATGATGGGACCGAGGATCTCTCCTCGTGTCGTGCCACCATAATTTTTTCTGTCCTGATACCTCAGTATGATTCACTTAAATAGTTACCCACAAATAGTTAACCCTAAGCCCTGACTCCTACACCCCAACCCCAAGCCCTAAGCTAAGCCAGAACAGGGTCCCAGGTACGGCGGCAATGGCCCCTCTGGGGAGGTAAGGATGAGCATACGTTCAGCATTTTGCATTGATTGCCCCCTGTCGTGCTTTCGGCGCTTTCGGAGGCTTTTCCTGGGTGTACTTCATTATATTTGAGTGCTCCCCATCATATAAACCTCATAATCACTGTGCCACCTAGCTTCTCATCGTGGTGTAGGAGAACCGTGCCCCGGGT